TCAATGTTTTCACTACAGTGCGGAACTCTCAACGATGGCAGCTATGGCACTGATGTGTCTGGCATTTTGCTGCCCTGGCTGAGCACAGAGAACTCCCAGAGAGAACTGCAACAAACAAATCTTCATCCATCTCAGCACAGCCAGGCCTGCCAAAACTGCAATTGTCCTCCTCATTCACCACCTCCTGCCCCTCAAGCAAAAAGAAAGGGCTTGCCTAAACCTAAAAGGACCTGCTGTACAGCTACCTGAGCAAACCTCTTGGGTAAATAAAAGTTTAAGCTGATAGAGCTTATATTGAATCACTGAATGAAACAAGTGACAGGAAAAGACTTTCCATTGATATAACTGAGATGCGTGCACCTAGCCCAGTAACACTTCTACAACTAGAATAAGCACAGAGTGTGTTAGCCAAACCCCAGACCTGTTAATCAATATGGCCACCTGCACACTACTGGCTTTCCGCAGCACAGGCAGAGGGGTTAGATGCCACACCTCACTCCTTTAAGGGGTGAATCAAAGGAACTGCTGGGCAAGGACACTGTCACTGATGGGCCTGGAAGTCATCAGGCTGTATGATCCCATCTCCTCCTCTATTTCAGTCTGGGAAAATACAGGGAGGACCCGAATTTGCCATTGGAAAAGGAGGTCTGAGGAAAGTAGAGCATCAGTTAAAAGCCTGGAAGTATGATTAAGACTTAACAATTTCTTTGTTCTTCTAAAGCTTCCTAATCCTGATCTAACGATACACTAGGCTCAAGTTAGATGGAACTTTTGTTTCACTGAAGTTCATTTTTTATTCCCCACATTTTTGTTAGGGAACTTTGTATATGCAAAATCTTTAACAGAAACATTAAGATTTTCGTATTGGGAATAATTCCATTAGATCAACTCTCCATCTAGTCCAAAACCCTATCAGACATAGCAATCAGTAGTATATATGTCAGAGAAGGATGAAATAATTGATCTGCCTATCAACAGGGAAGACATTTTCCTAATCCCCTCACTAAATAATACACCTATTCTGAAACCTTATAATCTCTTTATTTTACGTAGTATAACTGTGGACATTCTCACTATGAATACCTAATCCTCTCAAAGATTATAAACTTCTGGCCTCAGTAATATTACCGTGGCATTAAGTTCCTCATACTCGCTGTGTGTTCTGCAAAGAAGCAATTCCTTTAGGAATTTTTATGTACATCTCACATTCACTGTATGACCTGTGCTGAATTATTGTGAGAACAAGGCTCTCCTGGCCATCCTTTTTTACCACTGTTCTTCACATTGTTTATAGATTCATCTACACATAGACAGTCAGCAAAGTCGATGTGAAGCAAATGCATATTTTAATCAAATTTTAACTGATTAGTTTACCTACAATGTTAAAATGGATAAATTATACTACATTAAATCCCTGTATGGACATACACATTCAGAATGAAAATGGCCTTAATACAATTTAGCACACTTTGCTTCCAAAAGTAAATGGGCATAAACTGAATGAAAGCCACTTATATTTTGAATAACAGTATTTACAGTGATTCAATGTAATTCAAGTCATCATTTTAAATTCCCATATTTTGTCACTTCAATATTTTTTCCTGAGTGTTCCCACCTAAGCAAGTCTTCAAATCACCACCTTTTTATATTTCTTCTTTCACTCACAATTTCCATCCCTGACATCCAGTTATTTTTGCCATTACATGGATCGTTTTTATTTTACCATATTGGGGTAGTATAACCAGGATAAAATAATTGCCATGGTTAGGAGTGTTTCTACAGTAAAGACTATCACTGCAATAATCTTTGTGCACTTGTATATCCTTGCTATTTAACATAAAAAACAGGTAAAACATTAGTTAACCTCTCTGTGTCAATTAAGCACCTGAATTTTGAGCTCATGACACTTCAGGTATTTTACTTTAAAAGCTCCTGTTAATAAGAAACTTAGTCTAAGTAGAAGATTTATTTTTCCTAAGAAATGCAACAGTCCTGTCTGAGTCAGCTTCTGCCCAGATTGCTGTTTAGCAGTGCAAAAGGTGTTAGCCTCACCAAAAGCAGCCCAATAGGCACACAAAATGAATGGATAATTTTTAACTCCAGCCTGCATGAACTGTGCCCACATGTCCACAAAACCAGTGATACGTTCATTAGTAATGTCAGCAGAGAACATCTCCTGCAGGTTTAGGGTGAAGCCACCCTGGACTGTGACTGCACTATCAGGGACTATACTGCAGATAAATAAGATTAATCTGTTTTCCAGCGGTGTTACAGGTGACGCAGGGCAGATTTCTCTGGGCAGATGACGCCAGAGAGAGTTGGAAAGGAAAGTAGGCATAGCCAATGGGGCAGAATAGGCAAGCTGTCACACTTCGTGTTTCTGCTTGTTAAATCCGAATGCGCCTAATTAATTGTCTCATCTGCTAATACCTCCAAAGACAATGACAGGAGGATTCCAAGAATATGTAACCCACGGGAACACTCACAGATAGACTTGCTGTAAACTTTAGTATAGTCCCTGGAGTCCTGGTCTGCTGGGGTACATATGTGCATTTGTATTTACTTTAAACAATCATCACATACAAATCAAGACCATCGCTTGCTGCCTCTTTGGTTAAAGGTCAGGCCTTCTCACATCTGCACTAAGAGCACTTGTTAATAAGTAAAGCACTAGCAAAACCACTACCTCATCAGGATTTAGTAAGTTTCCAAAATTAAGGACATTTTGTTTCAATTTTACCCACTCCGCTTTTAACCTCACAGTTAAAAGTTTTCCCCAGCAGAGCCCTGACCAAAGAGGTCCAAATGACAACCATCCCCAGACCATCAGATAGCTCAATACCTACTCTGCCACTCCAAGGTCTAGGCATCAAGCTCTGCTAAGCCTCGAAAGTGATTTAAACCAGATTTCATTTTAGAACAGTATTATATGCTGCTTCATTGACTAGTAAACAGGCATTTCAACTTTTTTGCACCTAAAAAGAGATCCTCATACCACATTTTTGAAACTCAACTGCTTGGTAGGAAACAATCCATGGGATCATAAAGAGAACTTGGCTAGGAAACAAATCAGAATTGAGCTGGGAGTAACCAGGGTAAAGGTTGCTTATATCTGCAGATTACCCCTCTCTGCTTTTCTAATTCACTCACCATGCATTATCTTTCCATTAATCTTTAATAAACCTTCTAGTTAATTCCCCAGACACACACAATCCATATGACAGCAGGATACAGCGCAAAAGCAGCTCATGGATATAAGAAAATAGGCAGCAGAGGAATCAAAGGAGGGGAAAGTTTTAGGATAATACCAAACTCGCAGGTCAGTAGAAAATGATGAGCAACCAGAGGAAGCAGTGGTAAGGGGCAAACGAGGGAGGAGGCAGGGGCTGTAAGGGTATTAGTGCTTCTCCGGCTGTTGGATTAATTTTCTCAACAGGGCCCTCCCCTTTGCACTCAGGTTTCACTTTGACAAAAGCAGGCAATCCAATTTCAAACTTGGAGCCTGTGTGTGAGAAACCCTCTCCAAGGTGACAAGGATATACCTAGATTACAAGGTAAATGCAATTTCATCCACCCCAGTAGAAACAGTAATCAAATTATGTTGCCTCTAAATATGATAAGTTTGGGGCTCGGGCCCTCAGGGGAAGAGAAGGTGTCTTGCAAACACAAACACAAAGAAACACGCTAAAGGGAACTGCTAAATCAACGGATGAATTGTGACTTCTACCCTCCCTCCCTCCCTCCCTCCCACAGGGTGTTTGATAAGCTGCTGATTGCTTTAAAACATCTACTACCAATGTTAGGAACTGATTAAGCAACTTACAAAGCACTGGGGGCTAACAGACAGGCCCACCTGGGAGACTGCAGCTCTGCAGTTAAGTAGCTTGCTTTTTCATGGCTTGATTATTAAAGATGAGATAGCAGAACATGCTGAAAAGATGTGGAAACAGTTTTAGACCTCAGATGACTGGCCTTTTTGTTTTATATATGGAATCAATTCTACTCTGCGACTTCACCAGCCAACAAAAGCCACGTTTCCTGCAGTTCTGTAGTCTCCAGCTCCGAGGGACATCTGAACTATCTCAACCTAAATGTGTTAACTGAACGTCCAGGACCGACTATGCCACCCATTATCCTGCAAAAAAAAGGCACCACTAGGCAAGGGAAATATCAGTGGAAGAAGCTTAAATAATGGTTTTACATGTCACTGGCCATGGCATTAGAGTGTGAACACAGACGTGCTCAGGTCAGCCAGGGCTTACCTCACTGCTTCGTCCATCGTGCATCTGAGCACTGTAGCACATTCACCTTAGATTCTCTACCCCCTCTTTTCAGCTCCTTTTGCCAAATTCTCATTGTTTAGTCCAGTACATAACAAAATTCTGTTGTTCAGGCAGATGTACAGCACGTTGCTCACTCAGTTCAATCAAAATGAATGCAAAGACATGTTTTGCTGGCATATCACCTCTTCTGAGGTCACACCTGCCACAGTAACACTGCGTGGCTTAACTCTGTTTAGCAGGCTTGCTGAGGTGTTTTGGTGTGTTTTTGCTATTTTTACCCCTCTTGTGGTAATGCCTAGCAGACTTTGTAAATAAGCATGTTGCACTAGAGACTGTAAAAAAATCATAAATTCCTAAATAACTGTTCTTTCAGGCAAAGAAATAAATACTACTTGTCACCTGCAGGCTGAGCCTTAAATGAATCTTCACTGATCAGGTGAAAAAATTCTCACAGTAAAGCTCTCTTTGCAGACTACAGGTTTTTTCGTGGCCTCTTTACCATCCCATATCAACAACACGGATGCTCTAGGCTTTCTCTCTCTCATCCCTAATCAATGCCCCTGTTAAGCCATTTTTATATTAAACTATAAACCACAGAGATGGTTTGGAAGTAAAGTTATTTATGCTACAATTAGCTAGAAGGGGGAATGTACAATTAGCACTGAAGATGTGAACAGGCTTGATACGGAACAGGTGGAATGAGTTGAAGAAACTTACCTGCTGAAGGTCTGCGAGAGAATAAAGATGGATTTGCTGGAGAAGATACTCTCTGGGAAAGATCCTGGAAAATACAGAAATGGATGCGTGTCACACCTTTTGACTGCGAAACTCAAAGATTTCCTCTCTCCGCCAAGACTGCAGAACAATGAGCTTGTCAGGAACTGGAATTATGTCACCCTTTAAACACCAGCTACTTTTACAGCACTCCTCACAGGCTCACTTCCACAGTAAGAATGAAGTGTTGTGCCAGGGTCATTCTCCAGCTGGCAGGTGAGTGCCATGACATTTACAGACTTTGAAAACTCATCCTGAGCACAGAAAATGTTTCTTTAAACAATTAACCCAGGAATATAAAACTAATAACTCAAACTACACATTAGAAGTATTTCTTTCTTTTTTTTCGTACAAGATTCCTGGTCTCCTAGAAAGCTGTAAGAGTTCATTTCAGATGTGATTTATGATTTTGTAACTGAAACAACTACATTGGGAAAAATGTCACGCAGACACTGTTCTTCCAACATAAAGCTGATTGATAGCGATTCCTTTTTGCATACAGAAATGTATGTATTGGTATAGATTTTATAACAGCTTATTTGACAAAGGCATATTCTCCTTACATAAACCAAGGCTTTAGGCAAGACCATTGACTATCCACTGACAGTCCTGCTCAGTAATGCTAAAATACAGAATCCTGAACTAAGAAGAGATGTCCTAATTAGAGTGACTTGCAGTAAAATGAAAAACTGGGTTAAAGTAACATTACAGACAAATATGGACCTTGTAAAGGTAAGTGTATTAGCAAGTAAAGTCTATTAAAACCTCTGTAACTGCCATAAAGGCATCAGGAAGATAGAAAGTGCATCTAATTAAAATGTCTATCTTTGTGTGCATATACAGAGAAACAACCAGCCAATTAGCTTTATGGTGAACTCAGTTCCCACACTGCAAACTGAAGAACGTAAGAAATAACGGAAGCGCCTCGGTTCATTCTATTCCATTGGTCATCTTAAACAACTTTCTTAAACTGTTGCTTTCAAAGCTGTACTAGGACTTTTGACTGCTGTTGAGAGAGGTACAAAGACACACTCCTTCTGTACTTTTGAAAAAAATCTAAGATTCACAGGTGTGGGAGAGGAAGAGTCCTGCAAGCAAGGCACTGACAACTGGGCACTGCCAATCTTAGGGCTCTCGTCTGGTGCTGGGCTGTGCCCTTGCTCCTTCTGACTCACCAAGCACATCCCCTTTACCTACCTAATTCTCAACATTTTTCCCTTTCAGTTCTGTCGGCTATACCGTAACTCCTATCAGATATGAACTTGTGTCAGTGGCTCTGTTGCATCATACCTTCACAGTACGTTTGGCACAATATCAAAAACCACCAGAAAATAGTCAAAATCCAGGTATTAGACAATATACGATACTGGGATTCCTCATCTGCATGTAGCAGATCTATTAAAATTGACTGCTAAGGAGTCAAGTCTGAACAGCATTTTGAAGCCATTAGTATTTTTCAACTCTGATAGAATTTCATTAAAATTTCCCCATCGCTCTCCCCTGATCACACTGGCAGGCACTAAACAGTGCAGTAGCTTTGCCAGGAACTGTATAATTTGCTGATGTCCTTACAGCACACTAAGGAAAATAATTAGCTAATGAAAGATTTCCTTTTTCAGGAAATAATCTGAAGAGCCCATAAGGCAGAAACTGTCAATGACTAATATCTATGACTAACATCACGTTCCCCTGCCTTCAAGGACTGCGTTTTATTTCCTGCAAATTTTAACTCCTAATAAAAAGTGTGCAGACGAAAAGCGAAGTCACGACCGAAGGACTCCCTCTCAGCCAGCACAAGCCCTGGTGGCAGTTGCCCACTCCCTGTACCCGTCACGCTCCTCAAGACAGGTTAGTTTGCAGCAGCAGCTCTGCAGAGCCAGCATCTAAAACTCTCCTCCCTTCCAAATCTATTTCCAGGAAAAGAAGTAGGCACTGCCCTCCCAGTCTTATGCAAGACACATATACACAAGCACATACCTGGCACTCAAGTGAGAAGAGTGTTTATTTCCATTGCTATGGAAACTGAGGCATTAAAAAACCCTGGGTAAGTAAGGCTGGTCCAGCTTCAGATTTGCAGTCCCTCCATTGACGCAAAAGAAAAATCTCAGTTTGGTTGTGATAGGTCACAGAAAAACAGCTGAGCAGCCAGAGCTTGCATATACGACAGTATTTACATAATTTCTCATGAAGCAAGCGGACCAGTTCCTGTACGGTTCCCAACACACGTGGAGGTGCAGAACACTCCCTTGACACCTGCCCACATAACCAAAGGTGAAGAGCACACAGCTCCATGAGTGTGAAACCACTGAAACTGTCGAAAAGCAGGCAGCTCAGTGCCTGATCATTTTAAACATAAATGCTCACCACCGTGGTGAGCTGAGCGGCTGTTTTAAGAACACATCTTGCTGTGCTGCACGTCTGCAATTAAGATCTCCAGAAAACTTCTGTGAGTCCCGTTTGGACAGAAGAAAGAACATCCAACAGCCACCTGAATAAAACTTGTGAAGCCACCTCCCCAAAATGCATCTGTTTATCTATTTATTGCCAGTTTTGCCAGCCTTTAGTGGGTATGAAAGGAGAGCATAAGAGGCATCAGCATATCAAACATATTTTAAAAAAAACTCATTAGAAAATGCAGGCAAATCCACACAGGCCAAGTAGTCCAGTGAGAACAAAAATGAATGACGGCCAGTCTCCAACAACTTGCTTGTCTGCACATGTTCTAGGGGGCACACAGGGCTAACTCAGAGCCTCTTGCTTCTCGACCCAGACACTTCCTCTCACAAAACTAGTAGGAAAATTGTGTCTTTGCCATCTCCATGCCTTTGCCAGCTGCAACTGAAATTGGTCAAAGAAAGGCAGCTTCAGGAGAGTGCAGCAGGCGAGATGGGGCTCGGTCAAACAGCATGCCTTTGCGTTAGCATCCAGACAAAGTACTATATGGCACCCAAGTCAATTTAAAATCTAAAAATCTGACACAGCCCACAGAGCACGCTAAGATAACTACTCTCAGAAACATTTCACTAGAAAATACATATTTACTTTCTGCACTGAGGCAGAGCTTTAAGCATGCTTAGGTTAATATAAGGCCTCAATCCAAAAAGACCAAAATACGTACTTGCATTTTATTTTTCTCTTGATATAAAGGTCCTTTACAAACACCAAATAGGAAATCTCTGATAAGTTATTTGAAAACAAAATAGAAGATGTCAGTTTTGTAAATCTTCTGATCAATGCCCTATAACAAATTGGGTTTGTGGTTTTTTTTATTTAAGCTGGTCAGTTCAATAAACATTCGATAACAGTGTGCTTTCAGTCACAGGAAAAAAAGCCAGACAGAGGTCAAAAGCAAGATGTTAAGTCTCATCACAATAAAAATGCAAACCTCTGCTGCTTGAGAATGTGACCTGTGACCCTTGAGAGGCAACTGGTATCGAGTGCATGTCCCACTAAAAGCACCTCCTAAGCTCTCACAGTTTGGCAACTCCCGGACCAGTTTCACCATCGATGCAAAGCAGAGCAGCTGTGAGTCACAGGATTGCTGTGCTGCAAACCCTGGCTACCAGTCAGGGTTAAGCCTGCGATGAACAAACCAAGTTCAATGCTAAGCAGCCCTCTGGCTTTGCCAGTTCCTGTGAACAATGAAATCCAAAGTCCTACTGGTCAAAGCTCTCTAGAAGTGCTCTATTGCTATGTGCTAGGAAAAAAAGCAATTAATGCAAGCAGGAAAGAAACCCACCATCAGGGACTTCCAGTCCAACTAAAAGAGAGAAATGAGCATTCTCAGCTTGTGATTATTACTCTTACTTTGTAATCTAAAGCACAACATTCAGGCAAGATAGAACCAGAAATTTCATCCCTTCCCTTTCGGATGATCTTATCAGGTAAGTATTTGCACAAACAAAGGTTATCTTTCAGTGTCCTCCTGCAAACAGAACCACTGATAAGACTTTGCTTTTTGCATTTGGACAAAGTGTGTAGTCACAGTGCTTTGTTAGCACTAAATAATTGCTGTGCATTTAAAGCCTGTTTATCATCAGCTTGGGTAATTTTTCTCCAATGGGTTAAATACCCTGACAGCTCTGCTAAAGCTACAACCAATTAATCTGCCCACGCCTGACACTGTAACGTAAGCGCAAACGTGATAAGCAGAGGGAAAGCTTCTTTTTGCAGCAGAACCAAAAGAAATCAAGTTAGCTGGCAGGGGGGCACAACCAGGTCTCTTCTATACCAAAAAGCCTGTTGAAACCTGGATGGCAGGGGGAGGGGAAGCTGGCACCACGATTTCATGTGCCGACCAGGAGTGTCTTGTTTGACCAGGTTGAGAGTTGTATGACTGAGCTCTGACTCATGGGAGACGCAGATGCACCAGCCGAGCGCGGCAGCCACATCCACACGTCCTCTCCACCTCTCCGCAGGAAGCTGCGACGCCCACAGTTGGCACAGCCCACCGGGCACCAAGTCCATTTCCGCAGCCAGCACAGCTCACACCCCAACACTGCCACTTTTGCCACCACCCATTTACGTTTAAGCTCCTGCGCCACGCTACGAGCTAAAGCAGTTGAGAGGCAAGCACACGCTGAGGACTGCTGTTCCCGTATTTATTTTGGTCCCCTAGACAAGGGGTATAAGAGGACCTGTGAAGAACTCTTCCTCCTTTGCAGACCTATGAAGCAGCACCACCAGCACCTGCAGCTGTATGTGCAGCACACTGGCAGGAATCGCACGGGCTCTGATCTCATCAACAGGAGCTCACGTTTTTCAGAGTGATTATTTGATTTAAAAAGTACAGAGAGATATCAGAGAATTGTTGGTTATCCCAAATATATGTGGCAGGGTAAATAACATCTCTTGCTGAGTTTTCTCTTCCAATTCATTTGACATGGAATCTGTTTGTTTCATTATTTTATTCAGGCCTTTGATTTTGTATTTCCTGGGAAATCTCAGCTCCTGGAAGTATGCTGGGAGAGAAGAACTCCAACTTTCCAGCCAAAAAAATGTTATTCA